CCCACAGGGCCCAGCTCACCCCCTTGCCCCAGGACAGGCAGGGAGGCAGTGCTAGGAGCTGGAGTGGAGCTGCGGCTGCTTTTCTGCTTCAGAAGCTCCTGCAGCTTCCAGGAGCCCAGGGGCCCTGGAGAAGCTCTTGGCTATCCTGGGGGGCATCATGGGGGGCCACCCAAGGCCACTGTAGGTGGCATGACTCGGCAGGGATGCGACCCAGGGCGTGGGAAGGGCAGGGAGGCAGCACGGAAGTTACATCCTGCACCTGAGGCTTGGGACGGCAGCAGCCTGCCTACACTCCCCACAGGTGCCCCAGTGGGTGCTGCTGCCCTGCAGGGGAGGCCCAGCTCTCCCTCCTGTTCTCCAGGGGTCCAGCGGCCTGCAGGCAGCTTGCCTCCCAGCCTCAGGATGAACAGTGAGGCTGCTCCAGGAGCTGGATTGGGTCCATGACCACTTTTCTGCTCCGGAATCTCCTGCGGCCTCCCTGGGCTTCCCGTGCCCCAGGCAGTCTCAGGAGGCGACACATGCTGCCCCCGGGGCTGGCCAGGAGCTTCCCTGGGTCCCCCAGGCTCCTTGCAGCCTCAGGAGCTTCCGGAGTGGAAAAGCGGCCACAGCTCTGGTCCGGCTCCTGTCAGACTCACCGCCCATCTAGGGGCTGGGGAGTAAACTGGCAGTGGGCCGCCAGGCTCCTGAGGAGCAGGCAGGGTCGGACCTTCCCTCTGGGGTGGCAGCACCTGCTGGGGCTGCCTGTGGGGGTGGGGAGCTGAACCATTGCTGCCCCAAGTTTTGGGTGTGCGATGTAAGTTCTGCACCACCTCCCAGCGCTGACCATGCCATGGGCAATAACCCCGCTGGCTCTTGCCACCCCCAGGGCCAGACAGGTCCTTCCCCCTGGCTTCCTGGGGGGGTCCGATGCAAGTCTCCATGGCCACCTGGCCCCAGGCCAGGCAGCCAGGGAGGCAAGTACCCACCTGGGCAGTCTGAGGCCCCATCCTTTCTCCCAAGTGGGTGAGTGCGGGGCACATGGGGTCAGGAGTGCGCACACTGGTCCCCGCCTATACCATGGGGCAGGGGCAGTGGGGCTGGGAGCCAGCAACATCCAAGTGGTGCCCTGGGTCCAGCACCAGCGGGGCCTAGGGCAGGGTGGCAGGAGCCCAGGGCACAGCTGGCTGGGCTCTGTGGAGCCAGGCTGGGCTCTGCCAGCAGGGAGAGAGGGGAGCAGCCCCAGGACACCAGCACTGGCTTCCGTGCACCTGCTCACTCCCAGCCCTTCCGCCGCAGCCCTGCAGTTAGGCAGGGACCAGCGTGCACAGCCCCGACCCTGCACTCACCTGTTTGAGCAAAAGGATTCCAGCTGTTGCTGGCTTGCATGCCCACTTGCTCCCAGCTGCCCACAAGACCCAGCAGGAGCTGGCCTGGCCCCAAGGACTGGGGTGATCGCCTGCGGTCCTCCCCTGCCCTCATCCGGCCCCCCATTCTTACCTGAATTTCCCAGTCTGGCACAATCATCCTCATGGTCCCAGGCCAGAAGCCTCTGTTAGTTAGGGGCTTCCGGCTGTGGGGGGGGTCGGGCCAGGTGGGCCCTGCTGTTTCAGGGGCCTGCCATGGCTTCCCCTGAGCCCTACTGCCCTTGGCTCCTGTCATTTTTACAGGAGCCAGAGGCAGATAAATATTAATTTAAAAATGTTTTAAGGGCCCCACAAGCCGGATAGAATAGCCTCATGGGCCAGATGCGATCTGTGGGCCATATTTTGCCCACCCCTGCACTAGAGGGCTGGGGAACTGAAGCCAGACTAAGTGCTATAGCTGTGAATTGCCACTAGAGAGCTGGTGAGCCAGGTCAGGCTTCTATTCCTGCTCTAGGTGACGATGTGTGAAAGATGGGTTGGTGGCGGGGAGGGGGTAGGAACATGAAGCTGGAAGGCAGAGAGTTAATGGAATGGTGGTGGGTAATAAAATGGGAGATGGGAAGGAAGTGGGAATAGGGGATGGATAGTGATATGAGGGAAGTCAGCCATTGAAGGATACAATAAAAAGAAATAAAGAGGAAGTAAATTAAAGATGGTCTTCTGTTTTCATAAACTCGGATTTGGGATTGGGAGGTGGGAGTGCTGGTCATGCTTCCTGGGGTGGCTGGGAGGTGGGAGCAGTGAGGGAAAACACTTTTGAGGGAGCTACTGTCCCTGCCCTAGGAAGGAAGCCTCAGCTCCTAGAGACCTGATCTGACTTCCTACTTAGTTCCCCCCATCATCTCCCTAGACCCCATTCCCAGACCCATCTGTGCCTTGGAACCTGGATAGCTAGCATATGCTCTGCAGCCTGTTTGCATAGGGTTGCACCCTTGGAGTGGGAAGGACATCTCCCTGAGGGCAGGAAGGGGAGTTGACTTGGTGCCAGAATCCCTTCCCTGAGCAGTAGAGTTAGACTTCAGAGGGTGGAAAGTTGTCCACACAGAACAGGAGGGTGAGGAAGGGGACACTGCATCCTGGGATGCTGGAGGATGCCTTGGGCAGCTCATCTGTGAGAAGTGGCTACACATTAATGAAACACAAGCTGGGTAACAGATCAGAGATAAACTTGCCCTGTAATGGCATAACTTTTAAGCCACCTAAAACGAGTTTCAGGTGTTAATGTGTGGACAATCCAGGCGTTAAGAGCTCCAGGAACCACGTAAATTAATGTGTAACAAGACCCTGAGAAAATATGTTAACTACTACAACCTAATGGAGGGCAGGTGATCCAGAGTAGTGTTCCTCCCTCCCCTTTTGAAACTACTGCAAGTGAAGAATTGTCTATGTCCCCTGTACCCAGTATATCTCTGCCAGGATTTCGGGTGGTGTGGATGGAGCTTCTGCCAGCAGTGCTCCTGTTGTGTTGGGAGCTGGTTTGGCTCTAGTAGCAGAGGCACTCCTGCTGGAGGACCTGTCTATACCAGCAGTCCACCAACCTTACAGCTGCCAGGTAAAGCAGGAGGGCCCTCCCCCGTCTCCTTCCCTGGTAGGATAGATATGGCCTGAGAAATTTATTTTGTATTGCTGGAGTAGATTGTTTTGCCTGGTGTTGATTTTCAGGCTCATTTGCTTGCATTTCAGCAGTTCAACTCTTCCATTAAATCAGATCAAAAAATGTTGTTCTTCTGTGTTTTAAGTTCAGATCTCTGTGATTGTGGGCATTTTTCATGTCCCAGCAGGCGTTAAAAAGAATGCATTTCTTATGAGCAGTGAACAAAATGGTATAGGATGTCTCTTATATGTGTAGAATGCACAGTGTGCATAGGCTTGCTTCTTTTCCAGTGAAGAAAGGAGCTTCCCTGATTACAACACTCATGCCAGTTTGGGGGGAGGCTGCTTTTGGGGAACAAGGTTTGTGTTATGTGAGAAAATACTGTAATTTGTTACAGTGAAGAAGAAGGAGCCACAGGTCAGATGTAGAGAAGTGGAAATCATGGCTCTATCAGTAGTAGCATTTGAATGCATGTAGAAGTTAACAAGAGCTGCACCTAGCTTCAGGAATGACTGTACATGTTTGAAGTTTAGATTATAAAAGAATCTATAGTTCTCAACCATGTAAATCTTTGCCTTTTTGCAGTCAGATGCAGGTGAACAAAATACTTCATTCCTCAGCAAAGCATTTTCTTCTATGAGCAAATAGTTATTTGAGTTTTGCTAGCACCTGTTGTAGTTTAAAAAAATATTTAGGTCATTTGGGGAACAAAATAGAATAAGAAGGGAAAAGGGAATGGAGTAGGCTAAAGAGAAAATTGGTGACTGAAAGTGGAGAGCAGAGTGAAAGTGAAGCCCAAAAGGTTAGGATGTTAGTTAGCAATAACAGTTACACAAGTTGTTTGGCAAGTTGCAGAAATCAGGGTGAGAAATTCTATAGTCTGTTTATGTAAAAGTTTAGACTACATCATCATACTTTTGCCATTTGATTTTAAATATGTATGAATCATAGCAGTAATTGAATTAATTTATAGGAATATAAAAACAAATATTTAAATGAAACTATCATGTTCCTTAACCATTCTGCTAAAACAGTAATCCTAAGAGGGGTTCATGAGATCAGTTAAGTGATCTGCAGTGATAACACTATTTTATTAGAGCAATAGAGGTACATGGTGCTGCCTGGTGTAGTAGTCTACCAATCAGATAAAAATTTTACAGTGCCAGTTTTCTTCTGTTTGTTCCTAATTTTACCTGTTTCTAATAACAACAGGAATATTGGAGCCCTGGTTTGGTCAGTAAGATTAGAAGGTCAAAAATATAAACCCCTCTCTTTTCTCTTCTAGTAATGTAAACTGAAGCACAGCATATTATGTACATGGTGATCAATAATAATGATCCCCTTTAAAGCAGAAAAAAATGTTGGCTTAATGACCTACTTAGAGCTTGTGGTGTTAGTAATATGAGCTTTATTTCCTGTATGCTAGATGGATTAATTGTAATAATAATCATCACAGTCTTGACCTATTACAGTATTTAAAGAGCCAAGTGTGGTCTTGGAAATCATTCATCATCCCTAATAGAGAGAATGTGAATGTGGGGCTCATGTTAAAAAGAGAAAATAGAATAAATGTGAAGTTTAGATTTTTCAGGTAAATTATCTGGTGTGTGGAAGCAAGTTGTCTTGTTTAGGTACATGAATAGTGAGGATCACTATTTCAAAGCCTGTGGAATAAGATTCCTGAATAAGAAAGCTTTGCTTCTCTTTATGTTATCCTATGCGACTAACAATTTAATACATATAAGGAAGACATATCAGTCAGATTAGCTAAGTTTTAGTGTATGCTTTTATTAAAATGGTTTCAAGTAGAATGTTAATTTTCTATGTTCAGAAAACCAAGAAAAACAAGAAAAAACATTATCAAGATGAAGAAGAAGCAGTAATGGCGGAGGACTCTGAACTTGGTGAGGAGCCTGTAAAACCTGTGCCTCCTAAACTGGTTGACAGGGTGGATGTTGAACAGCAAGTTAGAGAAAAAGCTGTCACCATCAGGAGGAAACCTGGAGAGCCTCTCTTGATCCCTGAGTTGAGCCTGACAGGAAATGTAACCCCAAATGAGCTGTGTCCTCGGTAAGGCTGCTCAAAACCAACCCTTTTATTAGTATGTTATAACTTGTTATTTTATCATTTGTATGTTATCACAATTTTCTATTGTTTTCATTTTTAATATTTGTTTCATTATTAATACATTCAACTATAGAAATATGCACTGAACACTCTGTTTCTCCTGGTGATTGGGACCTTGTTTTTTAAAAATTGATACAGTTCAATTAAGTTTATGATTTACATCTTGTATTGTACTTATGTTTAAAGAATGGTCAGGGTCCTTGGGCATCTCCCCACAATGAGAAAAGTGCATTTCCCTGGGGATGAATAGTGTCACAGTGGTGCTGCTGCTGCTTGTCCTGGCGAACAACCGTGCATGCATGCTGTGGCTCACTGCATGTTGTCCTGGGTGGGGTAGGGGAGGCTGGGGCCAGTACCTGGGTTGGCCCCAGCAACCTTTCCTGGGGTCCTGGGGGCCTCCAGGGGCTGAAGCCCTGGTGATCCAGCATCAGGGAGATGGTTCACAGCCAGAGTGTGGCATCCAGCACTGGCTGGCAGCCAGAGTGTGGCTCTGGTTGGCCAGGCTCTGGTTTCAGAAGGCATATGCTGCCATCACATATGCCAACCCACTCTTTTTTGGCGTGGGTTATTTTTACACATACCTATATGCAGCACTGCATACCGCACATGCATGCTCATCTGGTTGCATCGGCTGGGGCTTCTTTGTGGCCAAAGAGACAAAACAGTACTACTATTACAGGTGCAAAATGGAGAAGCCACACATGGGAACGTCACAGCACGGAGCTCACTGCACCACTAATACACGTGATGTGTGGGTGCTTTTAATTAGCATGGCGTGCTAATGAAAAGTGCTTGGCGCTATGTCATGAGCACATGTAAAAATCCCCAGTATGCTGGCTTCCCAGTTGTTGCCAGCGGTCCTTGCTGCCAGGAGGGGAAGGCGCCAGCTGGCAGGGCAGCGCGAAGGGCAGCAGACAAAATGGCTTCTGCCCCCTCATCCCTCCTCTCCCTGATGTCTTTCCGCAAATCAGCACCAAAGGATGGGGCCACAGCAAAATGACCATGAAATTGGTAAATCCCCCTGCAATTTTAGGTAGACCCTTATATATGTGGTGTAACTGTATAGGTAGAACTGTTATCCCCTCTACTTCCCTCTGCAAGACTACTTTGGTCAAGCTTTTGGGCAAGGTATCTAGAGGTTAATCAGGACAGGAGCTATCTCATGATTCAAAGTTAAAGAACAACCTACATCTGAATGCATCCACTTCAACCACTCATGGGCTGTTGTAGCTCTCAGGGCACACCATCCCATGTGAAGTGCAGAGGCAGTCTTCAGAGAGTCAAATCTCTGATTGTTTTCACCTTTTCCTCCCCCTTACTTTTCTGTTTGTACCAAAATCTAGAATTATGGTTGTATGTGGGATTTGTGGATGTTGGTGGGGACAGAAAACCAAACCAAGGGCAGAAACTGGGCAGCTCTGCACCTGCCAGTACTGTAAACCCAGTATTGTATCAAGTAGTGTTGTTAATGCATCTCCTCAGTCCTAAATGAACTTTGTGGCCAATAGATTTTCACAGATAGTACCCTCTTTCATATACTTGCTTGTCCACAAATAATCACTTCCTGTAAATTCCTCTTATTAAAACCAAAAGGGTAAAACTTCTGTGTATACAAATTCTATTGCTGAAATATAAAAACATAGAATACTGTATTTGGAATAGACCTCAGAAGGTCATCTAATTCAACCCCTGCACTCAAGCAGGATATCATCTCTTTCTAAACCATCCCAGCCAAGTGTCTGTCTTAACTGCCCTTAAAGATCTCCAAAGATGGTGTTTCCACAAGCTCTCTGAGTAGCCTGTTCCAATGCTTAATCGCTGTCAGAAAGCACTTCCTACTATCCAAATTAAATGTCCCTTATTGAAATAGAGGGCCACTGCTCTTTGTTCTGTCCCCTGTGGTCAAAAGAAATAGTCTTTCGCTTTCTTCTTTGTATTCATCCTTCAGGTATCTGAAGACTATTACCAAATTTATTTTGTCATGTTCACAGGGCAGAAGTTTCACGACGAGAAGATGTAAAGAAACGTTCGGTATTTATAAAAGTCCTTTTCAACACTAAAGAAGTCTCAAGGACTGTCACCCGGCAAATAAGCTCAGACTTCAGAGTTCACTTTGGACAGATTTTCAATTTACAAATATTCAATTTGCCAGAGAGTTTGAAGCTTCAGGTAGACAGCAATCCTTTTATAAGTCCTGCACTACATAATTAGAATGGTCTTTTTAATATTTATCGTGTCATTGTATATTATTTGCTTCTACTCTGTATTGTTTATAGTAACACTTCAAAGATCATGGAAACCTCTGCTTTGGTTCTTAAGTGCTTGAATTCTTCCCTCCACTTTGGCTGTACTTGACAAATATACAATGTTGCCCTCTGCATTTTTGGCATCATTTAGCAAAGATGTGTCCCATATCTCTTGGTCTGTCTTTTGTGGACTATATTAATAGGCAAACTGAGAAAAAAATTGAAACACCTTAAAACTACACTTGAAATCAATAGTTTCTGGCTGGATGATAGGCTTCAAAGGGGAATTAAAAACAGTCAAACATGTATGGTTTATTGGGTTAGTGGAATACGCTTTTTTTTAGAGAAGCTGTGTCTTATGTCACAAACTAACTCAAACAGTTGAAAAAAGTCTTCTTTGCAAGCTGTTGGGTACAATCACCCTTTGTCAGGCAGGGAAGCATCTGCACATTGTCTGTGCTCTTCCTGGATGGAGTAGTAAAGCTCAGAAGTATCTGAGCTTCTGGATAGGCTGGGATATAAATCGATGAATGAATAAATGATAAAACTACCATTAATTTGAAAGAATTCAGCATTGTTAGGTACCTAAATTCATGAGGAGTCCAGCATTTTTGATCAAGTTAAAGGAAGCATTGCTTTTGCATCTATCTGAAAACTGGTTTGTTCATTCAGAAAATAGAATGATTAAATAATGTAATGAAACAGATGCTAAAGTATATATTTTAACAAAGTACCACTAAAATCATATTTCAACGAGTGCGCAATGCATAGTTTTTCATCCAGTCTGTGTCCTGTGGTGGTTCACCAAGGTGGCTTCAATATGTATACAATATGGCTTCCTTCTTTCCCTTTCTATATGTAACACCCAGCATCCTGCAGAATAGTTGTAGTTCCTATTCTTAATGAAGTGAAGAAACTGAGCTCACCCCATTTGGCACTAGAAGGAAACAGGACCATACCCCTGTCTTTTATTCATCTCATCTCTGGAGCTAGCCAGGCACTCTGGGAAAGGCAGGATACCACTGTCCAAAGGGCTGAGTCGGCATTCAGCCTGATAGCTCCAGGAAGGGTTGAGTATTATAAAGCACAGTTCCTCCACTAGTTTCCCTTGGGACAGAGTGGTCTTTCACCACCACATTGGTCAGCAGTTGCATATTGCAAAGTGTCTATGAGGCCAGAGTTCATATCTTGTTTGCAGCTACGAAGCCACAGTTCATAGGTGATTTCCACTGAAGGCCTGTTTTTGCCCTAACTTCCATCAATCTTACCAGCCTGTGGAGAGGACACTAAGCATCAGCCAAAATCCCCAACAGGAAATTTGGTTCAAAATGAGCTAAAATTCCTTCTGGAAACTCCCACACTTATGTCTACTAAGTAGCCATTGTTTTAAAATCTGTATGCATATAATTATTTAAACCTTTTCTTACTGCTCAGTTTCTTCATCCCGTAATCATAGTAACTGCTTTTCTCTGACTTATTTACCCTATTTACTCAATTCTAAGACAAGCCCCCCCCCCCCC